ACAGCTTGAGAGCTCGAGGGATTTCTCCTAGAGATGTTATTGCACTTTGCATAGATATGTATTTACTGCATTATTATTGTTATTGCTATTACACTGATATGGAACTGTGGGGTGGAGAGATGCTCCAAGGACCCCTGGTTTACTGGATATATTCGTATATCTCACCCCGTGTTGCGGGGACCCCCTTTCAGGTAAGGATGCTGCAGGGGCCACCAGTGGCAAGTGGCCATACTTAGACTAGTAGCGATGCATGAGGATCCTGTATTTTGATATTATACATGTTGTTTTGTAGCTCACATGTATAGGATTGTAATTAATATACAATTGATAGATGTATGATCTGCTTATTTGGAATGGACTTAGCTTATGCTCATGCCTTTGGTTATCTCTTTGTTGATGGGAGTCAAGGGAGTGATCATAGTGTTTTGTAAGCTAAGTTCCATGAATTGTAATGAACATGAATTGTAATTGATGATTACTTTAAGTTCAATATATGTATTCTCATTAAGTATTTGATTGTTGAACAGGAAACTAAATTAGGTACCTACTGCTAAATTGGGAAATGTTGAGAAAACAAAGACATCCTGTCCGGTTGACCAATTTTCATACCCAATGTGATGGAATTAGACTTTGATGTCTCTATGGAAGTTGTAGACATTTCTCTTAGCTTTCCATAGAGACCAAAATAGTGTAATTTGAGTGAGTATAGCTCAAGTTATGGGTGGAAAACCATAGGTAGGTTAAATGACCTTGTTTTGGGTCACCCAGCCCTGTGGATGGCGCCTGAGGCGCCAGATTCACGCTTGGGGCGCCAAATTACAGAACCAGACAGTAGCATCTACGCTGAGGGCGCCACTCCCATGCTGGGGGTGCCAACTTTCTGGTTGCCCACGCTCTTGGCGTGGATCCCACGCTACGGGCGCGGGGGTCCTGGAGATTTTGCACCACTTTTCTTAGTAAATGCCTAACTTTGGCTACGATGCTCCGATTTGAGCGCGGTTTGAACCCACGCGTAGCTAATGAAGAATACCATAACATAGTAGAAGATGGGAAGAATAAAAGAAGTGTAGAATTAAATGGATAATTAAATAGATGAAGACCTTCAACGACGTATTGTCTAATATACAGGGGATATAATATTAAGTTTAGTCCCGTTATTCCGCATAGCAAATATGGTTATGATCACACACTTGATTATTTTAAATTTGACACATTTTAAAAAGAAAAATTTATTCGGAATTTAATTGAACATGTGATGGTAACTGCGCTTAATGCCGTACGCAATGATAACAATCCGGTTCTAGAACGGGGTGTTACACAGTTCCTCTCACATTGATTTTTATATTATTTTTTATTTTTTAAAAGAACTAAACTTAGTAGGTCAGATTTTTTTTCTAAGTGGCAGATATTATTTTTTCTGCCACTGCTGCAAAAATGATAATCCCAATTTATATAGGTAAAATTATTTCTTCGGCTGCTGGACGTCCAATAATGATCTTACATTGTTGATCGATTATGATTTTTCACATTTAATGCTTTCACCAACCTCTGTATGATTATAATCCCCCGAATTTATTTACTGGATGTCAAACAGCTGAAGAAAAGTAAAGCTCAATTTATATATGCTTGCTTCTATGTTTCAAAAAAAAAAAATAAGGGAAAAATTCATAAACCTCGTATGATTTACTCTTTTATCACTTAGACCCCTATGCATTTTTCTTATCAATTAATGCTCTGATTTTTTTTCATCCAAATCCATCTTTAACACTATTTGAAATTAAGCTAATTTGCCCATTTTATCATTTTACTCTTTTATCAAATACTATTATGTGATGTACACATCATGAATACCTTTCCTCTGAATTCTGAGTTTGTACGTGTATGATTTTTCGCTTTGTTACTGCAATTTAAATTACGATTCAGGATTTTTTTTATTTTATTTTTTAACATAAGGGAAAAATCAGAATTAAGAAATAAAACAGGATCTAGGGGTAGTTACTCCCATCAAATCTCTAACAAAAAAGATCTCTGCAATCCAAAGGGATCACTGGGAATAGCTGCAAATCCCAAGTGTCTAGCAACTTCCCCTTGGCTGCCAAAGCATCCGCAACAGAGTTCCCTTCCCTAAAGGTATGGGTGATACTAGTTTGCCATTGCTTGCAAAGCCAAACCCGAATTTGAGCAATCAGTGGAGCCAGCGGATGACAGTTTGCACAGTTCCCTTCGATCAGTCTAATTGCAACATCAGAGTCAGTCTCTATCCATACCTTCCTAAATCCAAGGTCCCAAGCAACATGGAGGCCATTGAGAATACCCTAAACCTCAGCCCACAAAGAGGATCCAAATCCCAATTTCCTGCAAAACCCTCCCATCCAAGAACCTGCTTCATCTCTAATGACCCCTCCGCAGCTAGACAGAGAGCCATCCAAACTGCTAGACCCGTCAGAGTTCATTTTAACCCAACCTTGGGGTGGGAATTTCCAAGCAATTTGCAGCTCGTCCTTATTCCTCCTTTGAAGTCCCTGTCGGTCCAGGGCTGCTGAAGCCGCTTTGAAGTTCCACACAAACATGTTTGCTTGTCTGATGATTGCTGCCTAATTTGCTTGTTTACCCTCAAAGATCTATTCATTCCTCGCTTTCCAAACCAGCCAACATAGGACCCCAAAAACCAAGCTCCAATTTCGTTGAGTGGGGTTTGGCAGAAGGGGCTCAAGGTTAAGTTCTAGCCACGTTTTCCCCTCTAAGCCATAGAAATCATGCGACAGTCTTCCATCTCCAACTCGGTCCCAGATACCTCTGCTCAAAACACAATCCCTCAAAATATGTGTGGTGTCCTCCGGCTCCAAGCGGCAGAAATTGCAAAGATTATCCACCGTTAGCCCCATTCGCTCTCTTTTTACATTGGTTAACAAATGATTCCCAATGGCCTTCCAAATGAACATTTGAATCCTTCTAGGGCCTTGCCACCTCCAAGGGATGGCTCCATTTCCCTGACTATGGCGAGTTGGGGTCCCTTCGACCAAGTTAAAGGCGGATTTGACAGAGAACATTTCATCGCTAGTCTCAGTCCACGTGACTCTGTCTTCACGATTACCAAGCTTCGGGGGCATCAAACTCCTCAGTATTTGAAATATGAGGAGAATTCTCCGTCAAAGCAATGCAATGCCTAAATGACATGGTCACTATCATGATAGTTAAAATCTCGATTTAAATATGTGCTTTTACAATTTTATTTTTGGGAAAGGATCCACTTATCACCGAAAAAGTTTACCACTCTTACAACCAATTTAATCATCGTTGATTTCCGTCAATCTAACGGTTATAATTTATTGGAAATTAGTAACATTTATTCTGTCACACTTATTAATTAATTATTAATTTTCAATAAATTATAACCGTTAGATTGACGGAAATCAACGATGATTAAATTGGTTGTAATAGTGGTAAACTTTTTCGGTGATAAGTGGATCTTGCCCCTTTTTTTATCAAAATGATTTCATCAAAATTATAAACGCTTTTACGTTTTTATGATTTTTTTACGATTTTTTTCACGTTAAGATTTTACGTTTTACAATTTTTTATCCTTCCTCCAATTATAGGTAAAATCTCAATTTTAACTACCATGGTCACTCCTAATGCTTTGTTCAATGCTGAAGATTGCTTAAAATACATGTCTGCTTTACGAGGCCCGGCTATATTTCGATTTTGTGCTATTCTGCGGGTGCTTCTGTTTTCCTCACTACCTTCCCTCTATATGTTATACCTTTTCCCCCTCCTTTTTACCTTCTTCATTATTTACCTATGTTTTTTTTTTTGGGGGTAAATCTGTATGTTTTATTTGTTTATTATTGTCTTGATCAAAATGAAAATATTGGTTCTATATGTATTCTCCGTACTATGAGAGTTGATACTTTTTATCAGTTTATTTGTACTTTTCATCACATTTTTTTCCCCTTAACCACTATAAATGAATTTCAAACATAGAATCTTTACAACGTCACAATCAATGTTCAACCTTGGCATAAATATTTTCTGTACAGAGATCACTCCAATTCCTGCATTTAAACCATTTGATTTATTTAATTTCAATTAAATATTTATTTAGTTTATGGAACTAATGGAAGCGGTGGCGGAGCCACGTGTAGTGTGGGTGTGATCTGGAGCTGGACTAAATTTTAACAAATTATACTTATTATATATAATTATATAATTATTTATAATTTGATACGGATTAAAATTATAATTTAGCCCTATGTAAAACTTAAAATATTTTTGGTGAAAGTTTTGGCAAGTTGTATTAGGTTATGTGTCTAATTTTCACTTGTATAAAAAATAAATTATTTTAAGTAAAATTAAAAAATATTTAATAAAATTATTATTCTTCGTAGTGCTGGTTGCTCAGGTGTTCTTTTGTATTTAATATAATTTAAATATATTATGATATTGATTAATTAAAATTAAAAAAAATAAATACACACATAATTTTTTGATCTTGGCTCAAATTGTAGCCCGGCTCCGCCAGTGAATAGAAGTGTTCTGTGTTCATCCAAAATAGATTAAGCCTCCCTCATCCAAAATAGATTAAGCCTCCCTCCACACACACATAAAAAAACAAAACATAACAGCTATATTTAATAGTTTTTCACTAAATACAAGTTAAGATTAAAAGGAATATAAGACATTAAGAAATGGACAATATATCGATACCTACGAAAAATACATTCCTTTTTTCATAGAAGTTTTTTTTAATTAATTAAAGGATTTATTGTTTCTCATGTTATAAAATATAAATTAATTTTTTAATTTATCTTCTATATATATAAAAATATATGAAGTTTATATTTTTTTCTCTCTTTTTTTCTTCATACGTGCTCCATCCACTTTTATGTATACGTAAGAGATAAAATTTATACGAGAAATATTAAACTCTTAATTAAATGCTTATAAGATAGGACTGAATTTTTGTCCCTAGTTCTGGCTGCTAGCAAGTGTTTTATATTCATCCAAAGCAACTTCTCTCTCACATCAACTCCTAACTCTCTTTCAGTTTCAGTTCCAGTTCTGTTTAGTGTTATCTGCATTTGCTTTCAAAACTTGCTTCATCACGAAGAAATAACAAAAGGAAACAGTTTCTCTCTTTTTCTTTCCTGATTGTAAAGAATCTCTCTTTTCTCAATTGGGTCTTCACTGTTCACTTTCTGCATCATCTTGCTGTTGGGTTTTTTTCTTTTATATTTATCTCTCTGCTCTGAGAGCTGCTATCCTATTATCAGCATCACAAGGTCTCGCTTCTGGGTTAGTCTACGAGAAACTAATATTTTTATTTTTTGAGTTCAAAAAATTATCTTTTCAAATTCTCCATCATGTTTATACTCAAGCATCAAAATCTTGGTACGTCATGATTTTTTTCCAAAGATTCTCCTCGATTCAAAAAGATAAAACTTTTATAGATTCTTTAGCTTGTGCTCTCAAGGAAAGCAGGTTCTTGATTACATTTTAAAGATTCTAAACAAAAAAATTTATGCCCTTTGAATCAAAGTTATATAATATCTTTGTTGTTGTGCATGTCTTTCTAGTTCCTCATCTCCATTTCTTTAGTGTAGGGGGAATTTTGCAAGGTTTAAGATATGGAATTCGAAACTCCTTATCTATCTTGTTTCATGGAAAATTCAAATTGGTTTGTCCAAGAGTGCCACAACACAGAATGGACTAGAGAAGAGAATAAGCAGTTTGAAAGTGCCCTTGCCATATATGATGAGGATACACCAGACCGATGGCTGAAGGTGGCATCCATGCTACCTGGGAAAACTGTCTTTGATGTGATCAAGCAGTACAAGGATTTGGAAGAAGATGTCACTGAAATAGAAGCAGGGAGGGTTCCAGTTCCTGGATATCCTACTTCTTGTTTCACCTTGGAGCTTGTTGATAACCAGAATTCTGATGGATGCAGAAAGAGGCCTTCAACTGTTAGGAGTTCTGATCAAGAGAGGAAGAAAGGGGTCCCTTGGACAGAAGAGGAACATAGGTGAGTTTCATTTCATAATCTTAAATTGTCTTTGTCTCTTTTTTTCTGTTTGGGGAATGAGCAGGAAAATATATTGTTATTGAGATTCTGATAATGAATCATGACTATATCACAAAGTCATTGTTCCAGCGGTTTATTATCAGACTAATATGATTTGCTGCTTTGTCAATCTAGCTAACTAGCTATACTCTAATTTGACCGGTGAATTCTATTAGTATATTAGATTTTAAACTGCATATGCATTCCAAAAACTGCTGAAATATACCATTAAAAATCACTCCCCGTTAAACCCCAACTAGAAAATATAAGGGCGAGGACAATATTTATATGCAGCCTTGTCACTGGATACTTGCAAAGAAATTGTTTTTCAGATTCGAATTAATGACCTTTTAGTCATAATGGAACAACTTTACTACTGTTGGAGGCTCACCATGTTCAAAAACTGCTGACATGTTAAATATAATTTTAAGTTACTTTCATTTGGTACTATTTATGCAGTTTCAATCTCTATACTTTTTTTGGTTCCTGTGCTTGACATGGATTTTTGGGTTTTGAATTACAGGCGTTTTCTGATGGGACTTATAAAGTATGGTAAAGGGGACTGGAGAAATATCTCTCGCAATTTTGTGATAACAAAGACTCCAACCCAAGTGGCAAGCCATGCTCAAAAATATTACATAAGGCAAAAACTTTCTGGAGGAAAAGAGAGTAAAAGGAGACCTAGTATCCATGATATCACCATTGTTAATCTTGCAGAAACTACCACATCTGATCAAGACAAGCATCTTTTGTTCAATGAGTCTCACATGCCTTCACCACAACAGAAGCTGACTAGCTTGTCAAAAGTACAACCGGAATGGATTAATCACTACAATGATGGATCTTTCATGGTTTTCAACCCAATTTGTGACGATATGTTCATGTCATCTTCATCTGGTATCTCTTCCAAGACCCTGAAGTTGCAAGGGCAGGATCTCTATGACTGTGCTTTTCATGAGGCTTATGCCAAGCTAAAGACCCCAGGTTTCAGGACGGCTTCTAATGACTTCAATAAGGAAGCTATTTTTGGTATTCATGCACTGTAATGCCAACTCTGATCGTGTTATAAACAACATTCAGTTCTACCTCATAGATCCTAGCTTTGCATGGTTAATGTAGATGATTTGAGGCTACTTGGTTTATGAACATCAATAATGTTTTAATTCCTTCAACTGTAAATTTGGAATTAATTTTTTTTGAAGTTTTCCTGTTTATCTCCTAGTTTGACAGTTAATATGTCTATTTCTTTGTAGACTCAATCAGCATCACATGATGCACCATTCAGGTATTCGAAGTCTTGAGCAACGTGACAAAGTTCAGTAATCATTGAATTCCATTAGATCACACGTGTACTAAATACTAATCACTGTTTCAAGATGTAATTTGCTTTCAATTAAAAGCATTCATTATTATCCAATAACCTACAAATTGAAGAACATAATGATACCAATGTTCTACTTAAAATATGAGGCAAATCTCAAAGCTGATGATGGTTTTCAATTCTAACCTCTGGGTCCCAATTCCCAAATACAAGAAATAGTAACCCAAAATAAAAAATAATGAACTAATTAGATAGTTATAATAGTTGCAAAAACTTACCATCACACAGTTCCCACATACTCCTATATAAAAAATTGGACATTTAACTTTTTTTGAATGATCCAAATTATATTATACTTTACATACATAGTTTGTGCAAACATATTTTCCCTATTACATATTCCAAAATTGAAGTTCCTCCTGTTTCTGAAAAACGGAATATTAATTATGAAAGTAGCCAGTTCACTTGCTGATGTGGATGACTCAATTGAGCGAATAAATTTTTGGTGCTATTGTTGCACTTAGATTCAGTGCATCCTACCAATAGGAACATTACATATCAGAGGAAAGAGAAAAAATTTGGCTGAGAAAAGAAAACTTTGGCTGACATGCAATATTTTTATTGGTGAGATGTACTGAATCTTTGGTGTAACAGTAGCACCAAAAATTTATTCCAGTTAAGCAATTCCATTGAAATTTTAAGCAGCATCTGATAGAGTAAGCTTTTTTGTCTTTGAAACGCTTTCCGCAATCGTTAATCATTTGCTGCTTTATGAAAACAATATGGCCAAGTTGACCAGGTTTAGTCAGAATCACTTAGGTAGTAGAATCTGAATTTGCATTCCACTTAATTAGAATCCCATGCTCATTGGGTCAGAATATAGGCATATTCACGTAGGAATGCAAATGTGGCTCACACTATCACACTCATCTTTTATTAATTTCGATTTTCAGCCAATCCAGTTCTACCTTTTCTTTGATATTTCTGCTTCCACCAATCAACCTTTTTTTGGTGGCAATACTGTTGCGTCAGCTTTGTTTCTTCTTTTACTGGTCTCTGGAAGCATCATGCTTTATTTTGATTCTTTATTTTACTTGAGAACCCAATAACATATTCTAGCTGCATGCACTAAGCAGATTTTGTTCATACTAAAACTGTCAATAAAAATTAAACAGCCAACTTTAGATTGCATAGTGCATATTGAACTCTTAATACTAATATTAACTAATGGTAAGTTTCTGTGATTGTGTCTGTCTTGGAGTTGCAATATGAATTATGTTACTACTTATTTTGCTGCTAAAGCTATACTAAGAAATTAAAGGTTTTAAAGTTAGTTCAAGTCATTAGCTGAATGCCACGTTAAATTTCTCCTAACAATAAGTTCCAACCCAATGTGACGAATATGATTGTTGCTAACTTTTCATTTTGTAAGTGATGCAACCTTCAACTTTAAAATTATATATAGTTTGTGTATATATCTAGAGAAGCTCAGCTTCAGCAACTTTATTTCTAATTAATGTGATGTGATCATATCTAGAGAAAGATAAACAGTACAACGGTTCCTCTTTATCCTTCTTTTAATCTGAAAAGATGTAGGACAAATCTTTACCTAGCAACTTTTTTGGACTAACCTTTACGGCAACGGTGCATTTGGCTTGCTTTGCTATCACCATGCAAAAAGATTGCTCCTCTACAATTTGGTTTGGCCCACATATCCAAGGATCCTTATCACACATGACTTTTTTGTACTATGGTGTTGGCCGAAAGAACATAATAAATGTGCATATAACGTATGGTAAAGTTTAATTTGATATCTTCACAAGATATGAAAAGTGGCAGCCTCCCTCTAATGAATCCCACGAATTGGATTAAGCGGATAATTGATAAATCGGTCAATATATATATATATATATAAAAGGAATAACATCTATCATTTTAAAGGATATAAACTTATATCTTTTTAGATCCTAACCGTTGATTTCCGTCCACCAACGGTTATAATTTATTGGATTAAAATTATTAATTAATTGATAATAAATTTGGCCCATTAAATTTGGCCCAATAGATTATAACCGTTGATGGACGAAAATCAACGGTTAAGATCTTAAAGGATATAAACTTATATCCTTTAAAAGGATAGATGTTTTTCCCATATATAAAAGGGGAAAAAACATTTGTTTTTTTAAAGGATAACTTTGTGTCATTTTAGATACTAACAGTTGATTTCTGTCGATTAACGGTTATGATTTATTGGGTCAAACTTTAATTAATTAATAATTCGCAATAAAATTCAATAAATCTTAACCGTTGATTGACGAAAATCAACGGATAAGATCTAAAATGACATAAAGTTATTTTCTTTAGAAGGACAAACTTTTTTCCATACAAAAATGTTATATAAATCTTACGTTGCAGGAAAAATAATGATTTTCTTGCGGATACAATGAAGACATGGGACTCGCATATTTTTTTTTCTTTCCTCGTCTTATTTTCTCTCTGCTGTCTCTATAGGAAAGTTGCACTGTGGTCCTGTAACATAAGATTTATATAACCCATAAAAAAATGTGGTAAAAGATAGTATATATATGAAAAGGTAGGATATTCATACTACCAAATTTTTCTAATACCACTCCATTACCACTCTAATCATCATTGGATTCAAAAGTTATTTTTTTTTTCTCTTTTCATTCAACTTTTCCTCTAATCCAATGATAATTAGAGTGGTAGTGAAGTGATAGTAAAAAAATTTAATAGTATGAATATCCTAACTGATATATGAATGATCCTAGTTTTATATATATGTGGAGATGTAAAAGTAGCTGTCTATAACACCCATTATTTGGTATAAAAAGAAGAGTAGTGTTACTTGCCGCCTACCGGTACCAAAGATTTCAGATTCCTCCCATAGCATGAGAGTTGGATGCCTTTTTAAATTGTAAATTATAAGTTCTCACTTTTGATTGTATTGAGGAGATTTTTTTCAAATTAAAAAATGTGAAGAATATTTACCAAAAAAAAAAATGTGAAGAATATGAGAGGAAAAAAAAAAGGTATGTACAATTATCAATTTTGCTAAGAAAGAACACAAAAGAGTAAATAAGGTTAGGCTAAATGATAATAGTTCTTTCCAATTTTTTAGGCTTGTTTTAATGGTTGGAAGGTCAAGGTTTGGAGAATTTCAATATTTTAATTATTATCACTATGATTAACGGAGTTTGAGCTGCTGAATAAAGCTATATATAACTCCCTACAGTACACTGTACACCCATTAATGGAATTGACTTTATGTTCCACGGATTCAACCACTATTGCAGTTCCATTATGCTTATTCATCGATCTGGCATCTATTATATTATTAGTGTTCCTTTCAATGCGGGAAAATTGAAAATTGCAGGGTCGATCCTGATATTGTTAATTTTATAATCCAGTTTTTTTTTTTTTTTTTTTTTTTTTCAAAAATGATTCAGCAAAAAATCAACACCAAAATGGATCTTGGAATAGGGCTATAAAAGAGTCACAGGAAATTAAAAAGGAAATACAAGTATCAAATGTCAACTAGGAGAAATTGAAAATCAATATGACGCATGTCAATAAAATTTTAAGAAAAATGTTCTTATTATATAACTTTTTTTTACAGAAATTATTCTTTATAGTTTTCCAGAAAAACATTAAAACTTTTTTTCCCATGTGCTTTAGTTTTGTTAAATTTTTTTTAACTAATTAGCTTATAACTTTTTAGACATCTATAATTTAAAAAGCAATTTTTTTTACTTAAAAAAAAAATTCATGTTTTTTTTTTGCTAACTCTGATAATCAAGGTTATAGTCTAATTTCCAATGAATATATAAGGAAGCAGGATTATTTACAGATATTAAATAGTTGCATGAAATCTTATTAATTAAAAAGATTTCATTATATAATAAAATTGGTTTTAAAAATAAAATTAAGTAAAAATTAAATAATAGTATCATAAAAAGATAATCCATATCCATACATAATATATGAGCTACCCATCCTTTAGAAGGTAAAGTTGGGAACCAAAAACAGTTTCATAATAACATTATAATTTCATGTCGTTCCTACATTTGACGTGCCACTTTAGACGAGAAGAAAATGAAACATTGTTAAGTGACAAAACTACGCTTAACAAAGTGACAAATACATATCTGTTATGACGATGGTGATGAGATGACACATGGTGGTGGCTGGTTTGTTATACAAAAGGAGACACCAGCTAAAAGGACAATTGCAACTAACTAGTTTTGGGAGAAATAATTAATTTTGTTCCAAAGTTTCCACCATACAAATTTTCATCCTTTTTTTTTTATTTGTCTCGTTCATTCATATTATGTCTAAAAACACTTAAAAGTGGGGAAAATATGAATGAAAGGAAAGACAACTCTTTACTTTTTATCCACAAAATTGAGAATCGTCAGTTTTAAAGGTAGCAAATTGCGTGAGTAGGTAGAAGCGTTTTTGAATTACAAATGAAAACACAAGCTTATTACAAGACTATTATTGTCTAGAGAATTGCAAAGAAAAAATGAAAAACCCTGAACTACAAATACAGCAAGAACTTACAAACAAGATTTTGATGAAAGAGGGAGCAACAAAAAATTGGTATATATACAACTCTAGGCGTCAACATATGTGGCAGGGTCCAAAGGTACAACAGTATCTGGAAAATCTGATCTTTGTCCAGCAAGAGAGTAATATGCAAGAATATGAGCTGGATGCTCAACAATTACAGGCTCTTCAGGATCATTATTAATAGCCACACGTCTAGAAGGAATCAACTCAATATTCCAAAAGGGACGAACCATTGCCAAAAGATCACGTCCAGATGGAGATGCACCATACCCTTGCACCCACAAGTACCTTAGAGATGTCAATTGTGTTGCAGCAACAGCTAGTGCATACTCACTGAAAAAGGAACATCCTCTCATTTCAAGTTTCTGAAGACTAGGACATCCCCTAGAGAACTCCAAAAGCCCTGCATCAGACTCCCCCACGTAACCAAGTAGCATCCATCTCACATTCTGGCTGTATTGTCCAATGTAACCAAGACCTACATCAGTCAAGCCACCGCGCCGGAGATAGAGAGCAAACCTATTAAGCTTCTCACAACCCCTCAGTAAAGCTCGAACTCCATTGTCAAGTGGCAAATCGGTTATTTTCTCTTCATGATCAAGCAAGACAAGGCGAAAATCACAGAGGTTTTTCAAGTGAGCACCGATATGTTCCAGAGATGCATTTGTTATATCGGATACGTAAACAGCCAAATATTCAAGTTCTGTGCAGCCCTGTGACAAAGCAATTAACCCTCTGTGGGAAACAGTACCTTCTTCATCCTCCATTCCTTGATCATCATCACCTCTTTCAATCCTAAGTCTTTTTAGCTTCCTACAACAGCGACCAAGAACTTCTAAACCTCTATCTCCAATTACATTCCTTGACTGTCCATAAGGGAAGATATCAGTCACAGTACATATTTCATATGCAGTTCTGGTCATTCAAAATAACCTATTATCTCAAAATATCCATATCCATTTCAATGGATTTTATTATTTTACAGTTTTCATGTTTCATTTTGTTCCACCAGAGAAGCTCAAATCAATATATGCAATCATGTTTGGCACTTGTGGAGTATACATATGCATAATTGAATGCATATACACAATAGAAAAGTACACAGGTAAATTTGGGAAATTAATAAGCAAAAGTTCTGAAACTTACCTCAAGGACTTCCAAATTTGGGCACCTTTCGATTAACATACAATGATCCTCTGTATCCAGCATGGCATAGAGGAGATCCAATTTTTTTAGTACAGCTGCGAACATGAACACTATTGGCAACTCATTCTTTCCAATATATGTTAAACCCAATCGACATAACTTCGCTGGTAACGTCATAGCAGAGTACTTATCTGGTTCTTCATTGTAGGTACCTCCACAAAATTCTTCTAGAGCAGATGCATATCGGAAGAAGTTCACTAGATCCAAGATTTCACAATCAGTAAATTTCACAGACACTAAGTTGGGGCAATTTATGGCTAAAAGTTCTAGGTCTTGAATTTTGATATCAGCAATATCTGTCAAGTAAAAATTCAGTGTCTCAAGAACTGTATTATTCAAAGCAAGCTCATGTAGCCATTGACCATTGTTCTCAACAATTGAGCTTTCCTCTAAAAACAAAACTCTTAAATTCCTGTCAAAAAGCAAAATTTACAGTCAGAGCCACAACAATTTATAACTGCAGGCATATTTTCAAACTTCCAAGAAACAAGGACTCGGATCAATGTACTTGAGAATTCCATAATATGAAATTTTTTCCCTGCAAAAAGAGATGTCTATTATCATGTGAAATTTTATCCAAGAAACACAGGGAAAAAAGAAGAAGATGAAAGGATAAAGTTATAGGTTTCTTTTTCCCTTTAATGAAGCATAAAGTATAGGAATAGTTATATCTAGAGCAGAGGGAACAACAGAATGACTGAATTCTGTGATCATGTTCCTCACAAGTCACCACCATGTAGTGCCTAACAAACTGTTTAAATACTTCAGCCCACAAGTTATAAGAAGTTGATCAGCATAGTTTTGGGGAATAAATATAGGAACTTCATCTCCTTTAGACTTACCCCATCTCAATGATCAATCACTAGAAAATTCTATCAATTTGGAGATTCAAAACTCCAGAAGCATGAAACAAGTCAACTCAGTGAAAGGTTTCAATCACTTCATTTTTTTGGAAAACTACCAGAGAAGTTACAAAAGAATTGCTGGACATTGGGACTAAAATGAAATTAGAATAGACTTCTGTCACGGGATGCACCCATAAAAAAATACCATGATTCCTCAACAATAACATAATGTGAACAAAAAAGGGCACAACACAATTTATTATGGAAGGGCATAAAACAAAAGCTTCCTGCCAAACAATTGTAACTGCAACATAACAATAAAAGCAGAGAGAACTAGCAGAACAGATGATAACACCTGGCCTTGCTAATTAAGCGATGAAGATTCAGAAAATAGTAACTAAAGAACTTAAATAACTATCAGACAAAAATTGTACTATTAAAAAATAACGAGGGTTGGAAGCTCGAAGTCCAAGTCCAACTACATGAAACTCAGGCAACAGCATCCAAACCCTAAACGGAAAAGGATATGCATATCCAAAGAGAAGAAACTGAAACTCTCAATCAAAGGTGGGAGTTATCAGTTATGTACAATCATTAATCACTCCAACAGATAAGTACCAGTATCTTCTTCCTCTGAGTAATCAATCAATCAAATTATCTTGACACTCACACCTAGGAGCATGCCAATCAATCCTGGTTTCCAGAATTTAACTAAGGAAATGTTTGATTTTGATTAATTTTAGAAGAAAAATCACTTTTTTTTCTTCTTCTTTCAGAATCTCCCTCAATAAAATTTTAATCAAAACATTGAGTAAGTTAACAGAACCCTTCAAACATAATACTAATGATTAAACCAAGTCACCTGCAAAATCGACCAACATAGTAAAGGCCATCAGTGGAAAACCCAGAACACTTATCAAGCTTAAGAGCATGAAGCACATCACCACGTGAGCGTGCAAGAAGCTGAAGATCTGAATCCCTAACAATCATACGGCGAAAATGGAGACTCTTGAGGCAATCAAAATACTGAGAAATCTCTCTAACCCAAGGTGTCACGTGACCTCCCCAATCCTCAGGTATCAAGTTGAACATTGCAGCCCTTGGTTTCCCCTTCAGCTTCAGCGACTCCAGGTGCGGGAACCGCCGTCGGAGGCGGTCCGGCGTGGTGGTGTAACAGAGAGCAATCGTCACGTGCTTCCGGGTCAACGAGTCGAGCTCATACCACTGCCGACACACCTGAGAAACAGCGTCACGGTCTTTTGGGTCGTCGATGTAAGGTATAACACAGTCAAGGACCATGTCAACCACGCGGTGCCTCTTCACGTTCCGTTCCTCCATCATGGGTGGGCCAAAAAATCAAAAAAGATCTCAGCTTTGTTAAACGCAGATCGATTCAGGAGTTGAAAATTTTACACACGAAAACGAGTTCAAGTAACTACATAGCATGGCATGGCGGAAACGACCACGCTGAAGGGGTTCGAAGTTAATAGCGAAGACATGGTGAAGGAACGGCTGAGATTGTGAGGAGAGGAATCGGACGGCGAGGGGTTGGAATCGTTTGGATCGGACCCTAAAAGCTACTATTATAAGCCTCAAACTCCAGAAACCCGAGAAAAGGTGGAGAGTTTTTGTGTAAGTTGTAAAAGGTGAAGATGATGAGTGTGTTTGTGTTTTGTTGTGTGTAAGAGAGAGAGAGAGAGAGAGAGAGAGAGAGTGGTAGGACCTACATAGGGACAATGAAGAGGATGAAAATGGTGGAAACGACAAAAGCTTGCTCCCATCTTACCTATTTACGTGATGGGATTTAACACGTCACCGATTGAAACATTTTTCTGTTATACAATGTTAATGTTTGAGATTCATCCTAGTTGGTACGGTCGATAAGCAGAATTTTGGTAACATTTGAATTTTAACATTCGAAAATATTATTTTTCTTTCAAACAAGATAATTTCTCTTATATTTTTTGACTTTGATTTTTATAATTTTTTTTTTTATAACGATGAAACTCATTCATTTTCTCACAATAACATAAGATAATTATCTTATATGAAAAGAAACTAATAAAACTACCCAATGGGTGCAGTTCAGTTGGTAATTTGGCGCTGAGTTAGTGGGGTTGGACATGTGTTCGATTCCTGCTGAATGCATTCTTGGGGAGGGGGCTGAACCTTTAGCCATCACTGCTCCCCCGCACTCCGAATTAGTCCCATAGCCGGCTCAAAGAGTCGAAGCTCGTGGGGATACCGGAGGGAGCCAACTCGCCTCAAAGAGGTAATTAGAGTTGGATAACTCCAAAAAAGAAACTAATAAAACGCTCTAATATTACATATTAGGAGTTAGTGTTTCAAAAATAAAATTATTTCATATATATATATTGGTAGTCAATTACTATATATTTTTATATATGATAAAAGATAAAATTATCTTTTATAATATGATAAATATTAAAAAAATTACTTTATCATGTCATGGGAGAAAGTAATCTTTTACTACCTTCAAATCAAAAAAATGGATCACTCTTTTATAAAAAAACCGATAAATCTCACTCGTTTGTCTCAATAGGAGATCTCTTGTAACACATGATAAAAGTAATGCCCAAATATTAAACCCTATGTATTGTGATTGTAATGTTTAGAAAAATTGAATAAATTAAAATGCTAAATATAGTTGAGTCATGAGAGTTTATAATTAAGAGAAATAGTGATGTTTTATCATATGTATATCAAAATAAATCTTATTAAGTGAAATATATTAATTTAATTAACAAAAACCTTATAATTTATCATTAAATTTCATAAATTATAAATTCTAGAATATTACGTAACATGAATCGTGTATGACAAGTTGAAATAATCTTGAACCTCATTTAAAAGTATACTAGATTTTCTTAGGACCTAAACTTGGTCTTTTAGATCCTTTTGCCCTTCATTAATTAATTAATAACTATTTTATCTCTTACCAAAAATTATCCACCAACTTGTCCATCTTAATCGATTAACTTTAATATTTAATCGATTAAAATGTCAAAACACGCAAAAAAAGATTGACCGGTGATTTAATCGATTAAATCTCCCTCTTAATCGATTAAATCACGCCAGAAACCCTATATTTACACTTCTCGGTCTCATTTCAACTATACTCGTTTTTTACACCAAAATATCTCTTGTTTCTCATATGTAATCCAACCTATCAAGAGGCTATTTCATCACACCATCTCTAAAGCCTTAATCTTGTGAAATCATTGTCATTGTACTTATATATTCCTTTGTTGTTGGAAAAATCCGAACCCAACCCCCCAAAATCTGAACCCTAGTCCCAAATTCGTGTGAAAGATGAGCTCAAGTCCAAACATGTATGTTACAGTGATCTACCACGATGGAAGGCATCATAAAGGTCTCAATAGTGTTCAATTTGAAGGAAAAATGAAAATGTTAAAAATCAAATAGGGCATTATATACAACGAGCTCAAGGGGATAATTCACCAAAATTTGGGGCTACAAGGCAGCTAATGCATTCAATGGATGATAGTCAGGGTAGAGTCTACAGTTGGTAAGGATGCTATATACTACATTAGTAATGATATATGTGATGATGAAGATGTGAAATGCGTCATAGATGCAATTGTTGATCGAAAATTTCAAAACTTTATTTAGATATATGTTGAAATTGATTGTGGTCAATCTTCATTTGCACCCATGCATACAAGAAGTCCACAATATTTTGGTCAAGAAGATAAAGTTGTCGATTTATCTGCACCTACACCTGTCATAAGTCAGATAGCATTGAGGGGTATAGATAAGGATGAGCAGGAGGAGAATATGGAGAGTGATGAGGAGGGTGAACCTGAGAGTGTTATTCGACTAGGTGACACCTCAGATACTGACATGGAGGGTGAAATTATATTGTATGAAGGTTCATCGTACAACCATAGTAGCAAAAAGTGATGAGCATAGATTTGTGATGAAGTGTCGACACCATGCTGATGGTTGTCCCTGGTATATGAGGGAATTGTTGCCGAAGAATGAAAATACTTGGGTGGTCAGTAAGTGGAGTAAAGAACACACCTGCCTAAACCAAGAGCTTACCCGGGATCATAGACAGCTGGATTTTTATTATTATTATTATGCAAATTTTTATTATTATTATTAGACAGCTGTAAGTGTCTCTGGTATTATTATTTTAATATTCAATAGATGATGAAGAACAATGCAAATTATTATTATTATTATTATTATTATTATAATGCATTGCATAAAAAACACTAACAAAATGATTTCAAAATAAAAATTAACACTTTCAAAAAATATTTATAGATTACGAAGACTCAATTATTTTGAGCATTAATTTAACTTTGAGTTTATTTATTTAGCAAAATAAATATAATTAAATATTTTACAAGTTAAGATAAAGTAATTAATAACCAACTCAACTTATATACAATATAAGGATTCCATAGGTAGTTAGAAGCAATGATAATAAAATTGAACTGGCTCGCTGAGTCGATCCGGGAACTAGTAAATCGATCATATAATGAGTCCGAATGAAGTAATGGACCAGTCATGTATTGAAATCGGTGCGAAGCAATTGGTTTTTGTGAAAATTGGTGACCTGGCCCTGTCCCAAAAAACAAATTCAAATTTAAAATTTTTTTCATAATGGGCATATTTGAGTATTTTTTGTTTATTGACTTACATAGATTATGTACCTACAACACTAATATTATCTCAATTATGCACTATGCAGAAAATTTTGATATGATTTATAACTAGAGATGTCGTTTACTGAACCTAAAGTCTCGTATCCCGATCATTATATATTTGTTTGATCCTTTATTGGATAATAATATGTGATATATTATTTTTTATATTAAAATATTTGAATTTTTTATAGATATTTGAGTATGTTTATAATTTTTTAATATAAATTATAGAATTGCATATAATTATCATGTTATGCGATTCAACCAGTGACTCTGTACCTTGATCGGGCCAATGACCAGATCGATTTTAATAACATTGGTTAGAAGCTCTTGTGGTTTATTTCTTTTCAATATTTCTTTTAATTTTTTTTTTTCATATTCACAATATTCCAGGTATAACAATGAAACGCTCACCACGTTAGTTAATAGTTGGAGCCTTTTCCTTCTTGTGCCATTAATTTCTCCAGTGAGATTATCAGACAAAGCGTGTATTTGAAAGATAGATCTCACAAAGCTACTAGGTTTGACCTAATATTAAGATATTTGAATAGTTTATATTAAGTTATTTGTTCAATTATCGCTTAAATAAAAAAGAGAGAAAGTGAGATCTCACAAATACAATTATCAATTTGAAAGAGATAAAAGAAGAAATGTGTGTGGTTTAAGATTTAGGGTTTAGAAAATAGAAACGTTATTAAGACACTTTTTGACATATTTTTTCTCTGAAATATATTTTCTAATATTAGATGGCTTCATTAAATTACTTATGGTGTGTTTGGTACAAGAGAAATTTTTTTATGTCCGGGAATCATGATATCCAGTAATATACAAAGAAATCCAATTACCGGGAATGATATAGAAAAGTTGTTTGATAGACGTAAATATTACCGAAAATATTTAATAATTTTACTGAGTATATGTTTGGTTGTGAGTAAAATATTACTGGTAGTATATGTTGATTTTACAAAACTAACCTTAACTTTTCAATGACATCAGACCTACTAATTTGATGTGTCTTGGGGGTATTATTGTCTCAAAAATATGTTATCTGCTTTTCCTTCCATCAATAATCATGAAAATCGCCTAATTTTTGGTAATCCAAACAATAATTTTTCTTTGTAAAATGCTTTACCGATAAAGCTTGGATATCTAGGAAGTAATTTTTGATACTTTTACCAAACATGAGAATCGATGTTTTTAGAAGGTTTACCGGTAATCCTTGTGATATCCTTATATCAAACACCACCTTAGGTCCACTCTTTAATCAGTAAAATTCATATTAAATTTAATGAAAAATGTTTTGAGAACAATGTATCAAATTAAATAATATGTAAATGTGTTACTAGAGTTTCTCTTTATATAAAACCCAACAAATGTTTGTGACAATATTTGATTTTTATTGTCACCATTTGTAAGATAAAAATTATTAAGTGTTACAAAAGCAATTCTTCCAAAAACTTAAATTATTAGGTAAAGATAAATAATTATTTTACATTTTGTATTATACTTCTAATATATCCCGTCACATAAGAGAGTTAATTAGGTTTAAAGGGTATATAATGTACATGTTAATTTACTCATATTAAAAAAATTCATAATATTTATTAAAAAAATAGAAACTTTATCTAATATCATATTATACAATCAACTCTTCTCAAAGTTTAAGCTATTAGACAAAAAGTAATAAATAATTTTATATTTTATATTAGGGATTTGCATTTGTCATTTAACATGACACAACAAACTTTCTTACACACACAATATTTTGTGGGGCTCACACTTCTTGAAGAAAAAAGAAAAGAAAAAAATTATGGCATACAAAACGAATCTCTAATAACATTACATAGTTGTTTTTCCTACGACATACCTCTTATAAAACCTTTCATATTATATCTTTTAACGCAACATGATCATAGGCAGCCACTTCCCAAAGCTTGCACATGTTACTCTGTTATATGCCACAACTAGCTCGTAACTCGTTGGTTAGTTCGAAGAGCTTCGTGTGGCGCAAAAGCCAA